CACACTGGAACTACTTTTACAGGAGAGTAAATCCACATTTTGAATGCTGTTCTGGTGTGCATCATAATGAGCATTGTCTGTCAAGTAGGAATTGTTTGTTATCATCCCATCATCATAGTGGTTCCTTTGTTTTGTGCTATTCTTTTCATAACTGACCTTACTACCCGATTTGTTTCCCCCAAAGCAGAGGGAACTAAATTCATCCGGGGTGGCTTTCTCTTCCTTACAGTACATTTCTCCTGTTTGGTACACTCCATTTTTGGTTGTATTTCTCCCATTTGAGGGTACATCAAAGGGGTACTTCGGATCACTTTCAAATGTGTTAAGTAGACAATTTTTTGAGAAAATATTATCGTGAATCTCTTTAATGCCATAACTTTTGACGTCATGGAACATCAGGTGGTTCCCTCCCTTGTTTGCACTAATGGGGTCATTGGGATTATCCTGTGTAAATCCAATTGGAGGGTTTTCTCCACTTGGAGGACTTCCAGTTGTAGGAGTTCCATTTGTAGGACTTACAGTTGTTGCACGGTTGATAAAAGGGGGCATGCCACAGCTGCTAGCTCCACGGACAGTAACATTTGTGTGGCTACTACCCATTGCGGCATTCACCATGTTGACATTTTTTTTTTTCCTACACTTTGTAAAGTGCTCCCCTTGATTGGTGTATGTATCTTTATACGAGCCGCACTTTGCAAAAGCGGCACTCTTCTCATATTCGTTCACTTCACTGAGCCCATAGGTCATCCTGTTTTGCGAATGCACATATGGACGCTTGTTTCTGTTTGCCTCCGCTTTGTTGTGCACCTGGTGGTAAATCTCGCCAGGTTTGTCGCACATGTGATTGGCACTGGGGCAGTGAAGCCCTTTAGGGGCATTGGGCCCCTTGGGAGTATTGGGCCCGTTTTGACCGCTTGGCCCCTTTGGCCCGTTTGGCCCGTTCTGTACACTGCCGCCGCACAATATATTGCAGATGTTACTATACATTTGCACGTTTTTATCGCCGCAGTGTTGGTAATTATTCTTCACGCTATGCTCACTGTATCTGTTATTCGCCTCTTCATTCTGCGTGCTAACCAGCTTTTTGTGTTTTATGGATACCTGGCAGTTGACGCTTAGGTTTCCGTAATTGTATGGTGTGTTCATACTGTCCACTGTGGAGCGTTGAGTAGAACAACGTTAGGAGCGAAGAAATTTGGCGCGCATTGGCATATGTGCGCTTGTGCGTGCATATGAAGGTTCGCGCGCATGTAAATGTAGGGGTGGTCCTCGTATCTTCGCGTGCATGCACACATATATGGCTGCCTGTGCTGAGGCGAGCCCTGGGGTGCGTTGAATGGGGATTTTAATTTAAAAAAAAAAAGAAATCCGGGTAGAAGGTGGCGAAGGTGGGGCAAAAAATTGGCCCTATTTTGGCACTATTTCGGCGGATTATCACCAAATTATGAGAAAATTATACGAGCATCATTTCAGCGAGAAACGCAAGAAAGGATTCCCCTTCCCCCGTTCCACCTCCCCTTCTCAAAGTAACAAGCGAAGTCATTCACAATGTCAACTCAACTTTTTACTGCTAATATTTTGCGAACACATCACTGCTTAACATCAGGCAAAAAAAAGGGGTGTGTACAGGGCATTCCGTGCACTCATTAGGCGCCAAGAGAAAAAAAAAAAGAATGATCAAAATGACGCAAAAATAATGAAAACGAATTAGCATTAAACAAAACGAATTTGGATTAAACAAAACGGATTATCATTAAGCCAAACAAATTAGCATTAAGCAAAACGAATTAGAATGAAACAAAAACATGAATCGCTTTTATTGGGATAGAATTGTATGCTATAAAAAAAAATAATAAAATAATAGTAATAATAATAACCAATTACAATAATGTAGAATAGGGTTGTAGGCGAGGGGACTAAAAGTACATTAATAACTCTGTCCAATGAACCCAAACGAAATGGCTAACGTAAAAATGGGGAAGGAACTGCCCGTGTATGTGGACGAGTTGGTTTTCACCCGGATATGAACACAGACACACAGGCACTTGCATTAAAGAAATGGCACAAGTTGTAAAATTTATTTAACACATACTTACATACGTGCAATTTTACCAAGTAAATGGCCCCTTATTTTTTTTTGCACTCCTCATTATCCAAAAAAAAAAGAATGCATACACATATAGGGTGGTGAGTATGATCATATATTCGTGAAGAGGCTCTCCTGTCCTTATGTACATGTATGGGGTTGCTTAAACAATGCGCTCGTCCCAAGGGTTGAAAACATTCATCGGGGGAAAAGGAGCTGTGTATACGCTGATTCTATAACGATACTTTTTGTGAATGTACCAAATGGGGGAGGGATAAGGAGCAGAACAAAGAGTGACAAAGGGTATCGAAGGGGAGAAAAATCTGCATCTTTCAGCTATCCTTTTTTTTTTTTTTTGCTGTGTTCCTCTTTTTCAACATCACCCTTCGCATTCCCCTTCATAAAACTATAAACATTAGCTACATGGAGTTGTCCCGGCAAAGAAAAAGTAGTAAGATGGTTAAAAATAAACTCATATATATTTTTTTCACGAAACACCAAAAATTGCTGCCCAATTACAGGGGAAATTGGGATAATAGACATACATAGAGGGGTAACGGAAAAGCAGTTGGGATAACACGAAAATGATAATAAAATAAACTCAAGAAAAAAAAACCGGACAAATGTCGCATAACTGTGGAAAAACAGAAAAACGTATTAATAACATGGTATGTTAATATAGCAGGTAATGTATATGTGGGAAGGGGGGGAGGAAACCACATCACAGTAAAGGACGCATGAAATAAGCTGCGATGTTAATATTGATCAGAACGGCTACACACCGTGCATAGTCGTACGAGCCCACCAGAACATATGTTCATACGGTCAGGTGAACATGTTCGTTTACATGTGTGTATTTGCAAACTTAGAACAGCATTGTAAAACAAATTGCAGTTATCTAATAATGCTCCTCTCATACATGTGATGGAGGACATGAAAAAAAAAAAAAAAAAAGGGAAGTATACTGGTATTTCCCACCAAAATGATAGGGTACAAACTGTGAAGAGTTATTCCCTTAGAAAAAAATCCTAACAAGATTTAAATGGCTTGCACTTTGTGAAAATTGTTTCTTTTTCTATTCAAGGGGTACTATGCCTTTTCAGGAAGGTATCCCTTTGGTGCAGTGTTACGTTTGTACTTATGCTGGCATGAGCTATGCGCCTGTGCGCCTTTCTTCACATGCGCGTGGATGTTTAAGCATACGTACGTTTGGTGAAAACGCGATGGGGCACACGTGCTATTGTATGCATGGATAACTGCGACTTAGACTGAAAAAAAAAACGAAGTGAATTACGAGTGCTTCGGAGAGATGCAAAATGTGAAAAGCGAAAAGCAAAGCGTTAAATGCAAAGCTCAAAAAAAAACGCACCGTAAACGTACGTAATCAAACCAATCGCACACACGCTGGTAAAAAAGCGAAGCGTTTTTTTTTTTTTTTTCCTAAAATTTTGCGTACAGAAAGTGATAAAGGCGCGTGCGCGAGTAAATGGAAAGGCAAAAATAAGCCCAGTTAGAAATCTGCTAAAACGGGCTAAATGTATTTTTCATGCCTATGGCTTAATGCTCAGGTTTTCGCTTGGCCATTTGGGTTAGTGTCACGTTGGTCAATGGTCTCATTTCTCTTTTATTAATTTTTTTTTTCTTTTTTTTTTTGCCTCTCTTTACATAGTTTACATGTAGCAGTTACATTTTCCTGCCACTCATCGGTTTGCATTTAAAAATTCACAAACGAGGAAGAGCAACTGCCAGACCGATTTCTCGGACGCCTTCGCGAGGGTGTAAATTGCCGAGGCGGTGAAATGGGAATAATACACTTGGCCATTTTGTGCTTCTTTGTTCCATAAGTTTGGCCAATCCTTGGGGAGTATATCGCGAAATGAGGGGGGCCCTACGCATATTTATATATATATAAACACGTGTGTGTAGGCTCCCCGCATGTACGTGTAGTATTGTTAACTCGGGCTACGTACACCAAAAGGTACCCGCAAAATGACGTTGCGCAGCTGAATTTTGTTCCTTTGAAGAGGGCGAAATTCCCGACTTACACGTAAAAGGAACAAAAAGTGAAAAAATAAATTTAAGCAAAAAAAAAAAAAAAGAAAAAATACAACAATGTTTTGCAAAATGCCGGAGAGCTTTACGGAGAAGTTTATCCTACCATTCGCATCAACTAAAAGAAAAAAACAAAAAGTAAAGGTGGCAAAATGGTTGTTATTTTTTTTTTATATGACATTCCTATCAGCCCCAAGAGGTAGAGCGACAGATTATTTCACCACCGAGGGAATAAAAATGAATAAAAGGTTGTGGCAACTTTTTTCCCCCTTTCCTTTTAATAGGTTTTGAATGAACGATCACACGTTATTTTGAGACGGCATTACAAAGGGACATTTTTCACAGAAATGTTTATGCATGTTTTGAGCAGGGCAGAGTCTGCCCCGATACAGAGACATCCCTCCATATGCATGCGCTGGTCACTGCTAAATTTAGCAATCATCGAAACAGAAAAGAATTAAATGGCGAAGAAAAACTTACCAGCGTGGATAACGACACGCTAATTTGTTCCCTATCCCTTTAGAAAAAATAAAGTGCATATAACCTACAGAGATGTTCGATCATATGCCTATCTACCTTTTGTAGAAGTGCCCCTTTTGCGCAACTGGTGTGTTTTCCTTACAAAAAAACGAGCCATCGAAAACGGAAAGGAAAAAATTTTTCAGTGAGGAAAACCGTCTCATCGTCAAGGCGAATTCAGTTACGTATCAACCGCTGCGCATAAAAAACGTAGACACGTGTGTGTAATTTTACACGTCGTTCGCACTTCTCGCAATGGCTAAATTTTTCGATGAAGGGTTGTTTACTTGTTCGATTAATTTCCCCGTTGTCTATTTTTTTTTTTTTTTCCACCCAGTGATGCCCATTTTCAGGTGAAGTGGCCACTTCAATTTGCATCTCCTTCTCTGCACACATCTTTTGTTAATAAGGGAATTATAACTTGAAACGATGGGACAATAATTATTGCAATTGATTGGCTATTTGTTAGCAGCGTTATGCTAATTCATCGATGTTGGATTCACCCATTTGGCTTTTCCCCAAGATGCTGCTTTTTTGACGGGCCACGCACAATGTCTAAAGAGAAGTCAACAGTGGTGTTTGCGAAAAGGAAGCTGTATTCCTCTCCACATAAAAAGGGTATGATAATCCTTTTCATGCTCTTTTCACAAAATTGAGTTTGCCTTTTTTCTCGCTTCCTTCATTCGGGAGAAACGCTGCTGCTCAAGAATCCTACACTGTGTATAAATGCACAAGAGAGTGTATAAGCGACGAAAACAAGCAGGGATGCGCCATTTTGGAAACAGACACATATATCCTCTCACACTACAATGGAAATGACAAGAAAAAAAAGTCTCCCCCAAATGCGTGAGTTCGAAAAATTTAGCCTTACGTAGCTGCGTTTGTGCTACGGTTGGGAAATCTTGTTTCCTTGAACGAGGCGCATTTTACGCAGTTGGTACGCGTTCCTTTTTTTTTGTCGCTTCCTTTGCTCATTTTTTCTTCTTTCTTTTTAAGCAATATAAAAAATTATAACTATGCTCGCGCCCCGAAGGGGCCTGTTTCCATTTGTTCATTTGGAACAGGGGTGCCATATGGCTATCTCTAAGCGTTGACGGCGACATGCCCCTGTGTGTGTACCCATATAACTACGTGGAGAGTATCTGTACATTTGCGAATTGACATTTTTCCCCCTCAGTTTGTCTTCACATGTTTGATGCTTCATGTGCATTTTTGTTCAGCACTTGAGTATGGCGGGTTCAACAGATAGAATGAAATAAAAACAAAATGTAAATCGTGTGGAGCTGACGTTGCCCTGTTTTGGGGCATGTCCCTTATGGAACCACTAAAAAAGTGTACCTTATTTTATGTGTGCAAAGTCAGGACTTCCCCTGCCACATCACTACATTTGCATGCCATACAAGAGTGCACAATGCTTACCCCTTCCTTCGTCCACATTTTCTAATTAGCTTCGGTTTTTAAAAAAACGGGGCTTCCCACAAAAATGGAC